TCAAGTGGGCCACACAAATTCTTCCAGTGGGCCGCATGCGGCCCGCGGGTTGGACATCGCTGTTCCAGTGCACCAGTGGTATCAGTAACAACGACCTCGGTACAGCTTACACATGACTGGTATTGCGACTGTTATCAATCCCTGATTTATTATATTATTAATTAGAAAATACATTTTTTCATTCAGCTAATAGTAATTCCTTATGTTATAAGTTGGAGTCAACTTTCATATATCTTTCATAAATTATGCAGTGGTGGAGGATTGGTGCTGTTGATTAAACAAATGGGAAATTCTTTTGGCGCTCCCAAAGTATGTGCACCAAGATAGCGCACAACCTGAACCCCAACCTGGTACACATACTATGTTCAGGTTGTGCGCCATCTTGGTGCACATACTTCTGGAGGTCCCTCTTTAATTGTATTATGCCACCTATTCATTAATGGACACAAAGGGTGATCATTTTGTATTTTCTTCTCTTGTTGTGAAAAATTGCTTTGGAATTTTCAGTAGTTGAAGATTGTTGTTATCGCTAGAAGGCTAATTCTTTTATTTATTTCAAAACTTACTGTGGGCTCTGTGGGATTCTTTCGGCTATTTGAAGTTTTGTATGGTGACATCAACAAAATTAATTGCAGTGATTCTGTGACCATGGATACCAAGCTTGGGAAGAGTACGGTATCATACTGGTACTGTGAAAGACTGTGATACCCTCACTACTTTGTGTCCATACATTTGAGCATTGCTCTCTGGTTTCGTTCAATTCTATTATTCTAACAATTCTGATTGTTTTCCCAAACACTAGCCTTTTGAATTGTTGCTGGAAAGCATAATGAAAAGAAAATTATAAAGTGATTCAAGTCGTCCCACATCATGGCTAAGCAGGGCATACCCAGGGTCAAACAGACCCTAATACGAAAGAAGCTACTATGTTTTGGATTGAGGTTGAACCTTCGGTTTTCCATGGTCGCCGATCGAATATCTTGTGCTCTGAATGTGGTAGTCATAAAATATGATTGGGATGAATCCAACATTTTTGATCTTCGACTGAACTGCAATATAGGCAGGCTAACGTTTGCAAGCTCAGTATTATTTAAGCCTATTTATTAATGTTGTATCATACAATTAGATTTATATGAATGCATTAAAGCATCTTTAATTTGCATGTGTTGTGTTGTGACGCTTTGCATAATTCCTTGCCACTATTTGATGCAAAAAGAAGTTACCCAAAATAGAAAAAAGTGTTGATATTAATAATAAATTTAATTTTTTAGTAATTTTCAGGTTTTTTCCCGCTTTGCCTGGTTTTGAATTATTTTTTTGCCTTTGTTTATCAGTGATCATGATATGTTACTTGATTCTGAAGTTCTATTGTTTCTCTGTACATCTATTAATAAAAAATTGAGTAACTTCTTCGATTTTTTTGTCACAAAACAAGACTTTCTTGTATCATTTTTGGGGGAAGAACAGTCACGGTTTTCCTAAGATGTATTCGCAAATATGAACTGATATAAAGGTTTACAATATCAGAATAACTGGCCAACACAGCTCAGTTTTTTGTTTACACCGTAAATCCACCTTGAATATTTCCTGATTAAATACTAGATCTTTGCTCATTTTATACTACATAGTTTCATATTTTTATGGCGAGGAAAGTTTATCAGAGAGTTTACGCATACATGGTGACTGACTTTATCACCATAAAATTAAAGGTTAGAAAAATCTAACAGAGATGGTCAACTGCGACGCAACTACCTGTACCCAATATCTACAGTACCAATATCTGTGAGAGAAGCCAAGAAATCCCAATTCCAACTCGAAAATTGCCATTTTTCATTTTCAAAAATTAAAAATTGGGACGAAGACACATGCTATGATTACAGTTCAGGTCAATGTTTATTAAAAAATATTATATTGATATACGACCCATAGTATAAAGCTGTAAGTTTAGAGGATCACGGTTTCGAATAAATACATCCCTATTTCATAATTCTTATTTTTGTACTATTGCCAGTAGTTATTACGACAGGTATTTGAATAAAGCCCAGATACTTTGACAACACCAACAGGTATGGAAAGCAGGACCAGTGATTTCCCCTGCACCCAACTCCTGACGAAGGTGAAAAACAAAACAGATGGCGACTCCCGCCCCCACTCCCCTTACGTATATACTAGTGCAGATCGTCAGTCAAAGAGATAACACATTTTTATAAGTTAGAAATAGTTCTTTTCACTAATAGCAAAATATCTAACACCCACTAAATTTGGAAAACAAATGAAGAACTGGTGAGAACACTGTGCTGGTCCGATTTCCAAGGGAACGGAATTCATGATGCATGTCGATATAAACATTGCAGGCAGCTGGGAGGGAACTCAAGAACTCGTGCTTTGCAAAATTTTGCATGATGTCTTGCAGGCGGCATTTGGTTGAACTGTTTTACGATGTTCTGTCCCCATATAGCTATATTTCTTTTAAGTTACTGAATCAATGCAGCATGCAGTGGAAAAGTATGGATCTTCAGTTACGTCCGGTTCTTGTAGGCGGGATATTCAAGGAGATTGGAAATCAGGCTCCTCGCATACTTCCTATCAGGGGAAAGTAAGTGCTCAGGTTTCTTTCTATCTATCATATGGTTATTTTAATCAGCAAAAAAGGCAACTGTCTCAATTATCTGAGTTAATGGATGTTTTTTGTATTAGCGGTTTTATTTTTGTACATTTAGTTCCTCTTTCTCATTTTAGCGATCACCAGTCTACTGGTCACAGGGTTAGGAGAGGACATTTAAGTATTTATCATTTAAAGGTGATTTTTATTGTGTAGTGCGCCATGTTCCTTGTCTAGTTGCTAGATCCAGTATGGAATATTCAACTAATCAGTCAGTCGATCAAGCATTGCTGCATTAGAAACACAGGCATAAATCTCAAGCATTTGAAATGACTAACTGGTTTTGGTTATCTATTCTTATTCCGAACAAGAACTTGTAACCAGATGAGAGAACGTATGGCGTATATATTGATTTGCCTTATAGGCTTTCCTCTGCGATAAATATAAATTTCTGTCCTAAGTTGGAGTTGTGATGCTGGATTTGAGGGGCTCGAAACATGCTCCCCACATACGACGAAAGCAAGTACCGCATATTATATCTCAGTGCGCCGAATTTTTTCAATTTCAACTTACTGATTTCTCCGTTTTATAGTATTATGAGTAACTATAGTAGATTAATATTTATGCTACAATTTTGCTTGAATATCTAAAATTGAAAACAAGCTTGGCATAAGAAACATGAAATTACCAGGCTGAATTAATTGTATTTTCATGCTCCAGCTTATAGGCAGATTTTCTTAATCTAGTTTGGTCACAAGTCACAGAAACATTGCGGCCAAATTAAGACAAAGATAAAGACAATTTAAGCTATGAATCTCATGGGTATGCAAACCGCTGACTATAACAGTATATACAATTCCGACTTTCACGAGTCTAACACAGACTGACAGATTGGATTTAATGTGAGAAATTGTAACAGTGTACGTAGTATAAAAAATATACTTTTCTGGGATAAAGAGTTTTTAAGTTTTTCAATGCTGTCTAGTGTCTATATATGTTACGCATGCATAAAATTAGGTATACCGTATATGCTCGTTTTACCGACCGATCTTGATTAAGGGCCCGCTTGAATGACTGCCCGTGTGAACCGCACATAAAAATAAATAAGGGCCGGTGCTTGAATACCCGCCCGATGTAAAAGCTGATTTTTCAGTGGTAGAGAACAATAGGAAATAAGAAGCGCTCTTGTCACAACGCTGTTGAATTTTAAGCGCCGGTAGAAAACACTCACACCTTAGGCGTCCAAGTACATAACAGATAGCATTGATTACGTTACACCATGGTTCTCAAACTGGGCATCGCGACGCCCAAGTGTGTCGTTTCAATATTGATAGGGCGTCGCAAAACTTTTCTTCTGCGGATTTGTACCTGTGGTGAGTAGAAAAAGTACAAAACGAGCAAATACGGTATGTTTGAAAAATTTGTTTTTAAACTACAACTTGTGCTCCTCTCGTCTTCTTAAAATTGATTGAGTGCTTCTTTCGGTGTTCTCCCGGCCCGAAAAGTTGCTTATTAAGGTGAGTTCAGGAAATGTCCAACAGCTATTTTTGTCGTACAGTATTGTGTTTCAAATTGGAGGGGTGAATCTCCAACTTTGTTTCCGATGTATTCCATTATTTACTTGATTCCTGGTTCTCTTTTTAGCTCTTCCTTTGTCATCTGAAATTATTGATATAGGCCTACAGCTGTGTGGGATATTGTTGTGTCATTTAGTACTGAAAGTGGACATACTTACTCAATTGTTCTGTTCTATGTAGAGGTTTTACATTGCCATATTGTATGCTTTCTTTTGAGGACTGTATTTTCCGTCAAATAAGCTGATTTTCTGGAACACCAGTTTTGTTCCAATTTTCTGGGGGCAACTTTTTGGGCAGCGCTGCCTATCTTCAATCAATATTATTATGTGTAGTAAATGATGAAAACAAGTAGCTTTGGCACATGTACTGTAATGTAAACATGTTAAAGCAGTGGTTCTCAAACTTCTTGATATTGTGACGCTGATATATGATCAACTTGCGACTCCTCATGAAAACATCTTGATACCTTTTAATGAAGGGCCTCTTTTTTATTTAAATTATGCCTGAAGACTACTATCGTGGTGTCAATATTGAATCCTTCGAGTCAAGGCGTAGACGAAGTCCTGAACGTCGCTCAACAATGCTCGATATGCCCATGTTCATGAAAGGATTAAAAATGAATGACATGCATGGTTCGAGCTGACCTATCCTCAGTGTTTGTGTTGTCATAATTGGAACAGCAACAAATGATCCGTGACGTTAGCGATATATACGTTATATTGTCATCTCCAGTTCTCAAGTGTTATTTAAACGAGAATTTTAACTCTCCTACGAACCGCAGGTACAATTCCTCAAAAGCAGAACGCCCTAGCAAAATTGAAACGACACACACGCACACGCGACGCCCACTTTGAGAACCACGGTGTTAAAGGAAAGAAAGATAGCGCAATGGCAAGGAGCTGGGGAATATAAGTATAAATGAATAAAGCAAAATAGAATGCACATTGGTGTTGAACTTTCAAGCAGAGAAAAAAGTAATGCAGCTTTCCTGCCTCAGATTATTTGGTGATAATATAAAAAAATCCTTTTTTTATTGCTAAAAATCAGCGCTGTTTGTTTGCAGAGTCGACTTATTAGCCGTAACATACAGTACTTTGTTCAGTTTCTCTGACATTTTAGACTTGATATAAAGTTAGTGTTTTTGCAAAGGTTCACTCACAAAATGTATTTCAAGTTTTCATTCAATACCCTGTAGCTCTTATCACTTCAGTTGTTTTTTGTAACCTCACTCATTAGATTTACAGGATTCCTGAATAGGATTGGATTTTTGAATACCGTACTTGGAAGAAGAAAAGCCAATGCAATAACTCAATCATATAGTAATTGAATTGTCTATCCTTTCATAACCAGTCTATGGGTAGGGAACCAGTCAGTTAGTGCAGAACCATCTGTATATTATATATAAATATGGTTGTTTCAAATGACTGTGTAGCTGAATTATTGTAATTAATGAATGATTCGTTTTTTGTCAGAATAAATTGTTATTTCAATGTGGAAATCAGTATTTTTGAGAAATGTCTTTAAAGCGCCATTTGGTGGAATTGTTCTACGACGTTTTGTCACCCTATAGTTATATTTCTTTCAAATTGTTGAATCGGTGTAGCAAACAATGGAATACCATGAATCTTCAGCTTCGTCCTGTTCTCGTTGGTGGAATTTTCAAATCTGTTGAAATTCAGGAACCTTTGACCCATCCTACTAAAGGAAGGTGAGTGTAGATCACGTATGTCAGAGTGTCGAAGCCATTAAATAACAATACAAAAGAGAACATTCCTAAAATTTCGAATCTCATCACCGCCTTATGGGGCATTTATTTTTGACATATAGCGCAGGGGTGGTCAACCTGCTTTCAACCACGATCGACTAAAAACGTCGAAATAGCTTGCGATTGACTGATCCATACACAATAAGGCCATACACAAAAACGAACGAATACTGAATATACATGCACGCATACAAAAAATCCGCCGCTGCCAATCAGCTCGGTTCTTTTGGCACATTCTTAATGAAATCGGCACAAAATTTTTTCGCTGCTCAAACTTCCTAATTGACAATTTCTGCCGAGTCTGATCTTCGCTCGCTTGGAATTAAAAAAAATTAGGCATTCGGATGCCACCGCTATCGTTGCGAATAAAATTCATCACACTACTCATGGAGATGGAGGGATACAAAAACTTTCTCATACTGCAAAAATTGTTGTAGAATCGTTCGTCAGCCAAGGCACACGATATTTTGCAGGTTCATTTCTAAAACTTGGATGCAGCGAAACTTACATTTGTACACAATAATATGCTCTAACAGCCTTGCCCAGACTCAAATACTATATGCTTATATCGTATTTTGTCCATGCAAAGGCAAAGTGCTATGGTATTGCTGTTTTGAAACACACAAAATTCGCTGCATGAAACTGATTCAAGGCAATTTTGGGAGGTATGTTATCAAAATCAATCAACATCAGACAGTTCAACATTAGAGTTTAAAATTCAAAAATATATTGCCTAACTAAGATTTCGGCTTATATGCACATGACTAAAAATTATACACGCATAACTCTGTACTGGAAAGATCATACTTGGGAGTTTGACAGTGATAGTGAGGATGATTATGAGGAATGTTGAGACACTTCTTACCATTATTAATAAAAGTAAAACATAACGACTATGATTATCATTTCCATTACCCTACATTCTCGCATATATGTCGATCACGCATATAACCGACTCCCTAAAACAGTGTTAAGACGGCGATTATATGCATATAAGCCGACCCTACAAATCGTAACACGCCGTATCACAGTTAAGAATATCAAAGTATTCGAATACTTTTTCGGCTGATTTTTGAATAATAGCCACTTTTCGCCCTCATCACGGTGTTTCGTTGACAAGAAAAGTATTAAAACGAATTTTAGCGCTTTGCCACATATTGTAATGACAACGATAAATAAAATCGACACTTTGATTGTTTATCTTCTTTGCGACCCTGCACCTCATATTGTTGCGACACATTTGCATGGTTGTGCGGTTGGCATTGCCGCCATTTCTTTGCAAGGCTTCTTATTTTACATTTATATCCATTACGTCGCAAAATTGAACATTATACTGTTAAAAGTTGTAACTCTGTCCCGTAGAATGTAATAAGCCATTTCACGTATGGTCATGACTGAAAAGATATTATCGGCAATGTTCCCTCTAATTTTTTGTAGTATGTGTGCGCAGAAATATTGGTGTGTGCGCACTTTTTTGGAAATGACTAATATTTGTGCAAAAACCAATAAAAAAATTTTGGCGTTCTAACCGGGTAATAAGTGGGCCAACAACAAACTTTCTCAACCTGCCAACCGAGCACATTGTTACATTACATCCAAATACGTCTGTGCGCAGTAAATATATGCGTCTGTGTGCGCTCGCACACGCGCACACTTTAGAGGGAACACTGAATATCGGTAATAACATTTAAAGTGAGGGTTTTGCAGTTTAAGCGAGGAGAAAACGCTCGTTCTATAAATATAATCGAGTGGTATCTTTGTCCGGTAGAATGTAATAAGCCATGTCATGTATGGTCATGACTGAAAAGATATTATCGTTGATAACATTCTAAAGGAGGTTTTTGAAGTTTACACAATGCGAGGATATACGTATATATTATTTTAATAATAAATGAATTAAAGTATTGAATGGAAAAGAGTTTTTGAAATAAAATTCAGTACCATATTCCTTGACGAATAAGTCTACCCGACAAATAAGAAGAAACCTATTTTCAGCACTAAAAAAGACGGTTCTTCCATATAGCACTCCAATAAGACGGGACAGAAAAATAGCTTCTTTGTCGGTCAGCTAAACACCGATATGTATCCATAATTTTATATAGTTAGAACCAGGTTTTGCTTGTTTCAGGTAAAATAACTCACAGCATTAATTCTTACCAATAAAATGGTAGCTTTCATTGGCGGAAATTGTGTTTAGTTTGGTATAGTTGTTTATTTCAATTTTGTAGCTCAACTCTTTACTCCCTGACTATGCTCCCTATACTTATGTGTGATTGTATGACTGGAGCCGCGGGATCTCTCCCGGAGAGGTGGCGCATCGTGCTTAGCCTTGGGAATACGCTTGCGACCGCACCTCTGATTAAACTTCGAAGGTTTGCAGGTCCACATTCGAATCCCATACTAGGATAGTTATGTACGAAAGGATTGCTGAACTCTTTGCCGCCGTAGGGTTGTTCATGTAACCGCTGGTCGGGTGCTGTTTCAGACCCCATTCCACCCCACAACACTTTGGGCTCAGTTTCAATATCATTGAAATGATAGTTGGGAAGTTTAGTGGTTATTAATGATCAAATGAGTAAACTTATTTATTCAAACAATTCAATACAAAAATATGGATCAGTTGACTGTTGTTATTGGGTTGTAGGGTTGATATTTTGTAGGGTTGACAGTTTGTGATGATGATTTTGAATATTGTAATTAGCGGTGTGAAAATTATTAGTATTTCACTGCCGCTTTTTTCCTTTCAGTATCGACTTAATCTGGCATTTACTCAGGTGAGGCATTGCCATAGTTCTGCATGATTTAATTGATAGATATTGGAGTTTCAGGTCCGCGAAATGAGATTTAAATTTGGTTTAATCTTGTACATGCGAGTAATTCCAATCTCTTTGCGTTGCAAAGCCTCTAATTTATTATCTATGCCTATGGCATTACAATGCCCTAACAACTAGCTTGTCGTAAGATCAATAACCTAAATTTTTGCTCCTGCAACTACTAGAAAGCCTATGTTAAATGAAGGTTTGGTTCGTGGTTCCACCCAGTTTTTTGTATCTGGCTCCTCAGCCCTAGAGTAAAAATCATGAATTCAAACTTTCAATGATGATTATCGAAGTGAAAAAATTCTGACACTAAATCATATATTGTTTAGTTAAGTAAGCATTCTCAACAGACAATTAGCAAAGAATTGCATAGGACAAAAACTTTTTGCTTAGGCTAACGTTTTTTATTTCAAATATTGTTTTCTGAGATGGGGATGGAGTCAGAACTTTCTCCAGCATGGAGTCTATATTCCGAGTCAAAACTTTTGTTAACCAGAATTGGAGTTATTTTTAAAATTACTAGGAGTTGAGTCGGTTGAAAGTTTTTCAAGACCACATAACTCTCCTATCACTTAATATCTGGAATGGATTATTAACAATCATCATTCGTTCTCAGGTACATGTTTGAAGATCTTGACCGAATATCTGGATACTATCGCATTCCGTTCAAACTTCCGAAAAACATAGAACAGGATTTCTTTGCGAAAGGTTCTGTTAAAGCTCAGCGTCTGTTGACTTATGTACAGGAGGAATCACCGGAACTATTGAACGGAATTTCAGATGAGATTTTCAAAAGAATCTGGGTTGATAATGTTGACATATCTGAGAATAAAAGCTTACAAGAAGCGTGTGAAGCAGCTGGATTGTCCTCCACAGAATCTTCCAATGCTTTGAATGAAATAAATCATCAATCTGTCAAGGAAGGGCTGAAGAAAGCTACTTCATATGCTATTGAGTGCGGAGTGTTTGGCACTCCTACCTATATTTTACACAGAAATGGAAAGAAGGACATGTTGTTTGGAACTGATAGAATCTTCCTTCTTGCTCATTATTTGAATGAGCCTTGGCCAGTATTCCCATATGATGAATAATGACAGAAAATAACTGATTTCTCCAAGTCTATTGATAAATATGCATAAGGGACCTTCAATAGTATAAGTAGGCATTCTGTTCATATTGTGCATAGCTTATTGCTGACGTATCTACATAAAAATACAGATTGGAAATCTTCTTGAAAATAAACTATTTTCTCATCTTCGATTCGATTGGCTGGTCTATTATCCACATAACAAACTACAGATATCTCCTGTCACCTCTTTAACAATTAACTCTAAATTTATTGTTTGCAACACAGTATTTCATTAATGCTGTTGTTTAAATGTATAACACCTCTGTTTGATGTGCCTAAACCACTGCCATCTTAAGATGTGATCTATTGAAGATTCATGCCGTTTTTCACTGTAAAATAAGGGCCATTCCAAGCAAAAGTTGAATTCCCTCAATTTTTCAAAAAGTGTAGTGAAAGTAATTTTATTTTATTTTTGATATCAAAAGACATTGGAATTTTATTGGACTGCATTCATTTCATCGAACAATTTAAAATTTCCCCCAGGTTTTTGATGGTTTATAAAAAATGGCCTGAAATGTAGAAATTTTGGTATAATTGACATATTATGTGATGATTCCTGACACAAAGTGTTTGATTGTGTGGTACAGTTATTTCATATGGAATTGACGCACTGGGTTTAAGTTAATAAAGTTTAAATGTTTGCAGTGCTGTAGGACATTTCTTCACCCATTTAACGATTTATTACCAGAATTTTAAGAGATGATAGAGACCGCTATTCTGAAGTGGAAAAATGTCCTGTGGTTTCACGTCCTGTAGTGTCACATACAATATGCACATTATTGGCATGGATTTACAGTGTTACATTAAGTAACTTGAGCAACACATAGAGGGGTAGTTCAGCTACTGCACCAGAAAATATTATGGGCTCCTACTGTACCATCGCAAAAATTTACAGCACAACACAACGTACTGTTAGTGCACGGTGGATTTGTCGTCCTGTAGTGTCACACTATATTTTATTATTATTTTTTTATCTACTAAATAAGTCTTGGGTGTTACTATTGTGCAATTTTTTACATATTCAATAAAGCAACTGATTGGACAATGAAACAAGACATGCTGAAACATAGCTGAAAATGTGAAAATATATTGCATTCAACAACATGCAAAATTTCTGGAATTGTCCTGTAGTGTCACTCGGAATAGTCCATGAGACCTAGCCTGGAATTTTAAAATGATTTTAATGTAAGCCCTCCCTTTAAAAAAGGCCTAGTCGATAGCGGGAATTTTTTTGATCTAATCGATAACAAGAAATCTCTTCTACACAATTTACATGATTAATCTAAAACGTGGGAGCAGGAAAAAGGTTCAATGACCTGACTAATCTATGTTCAGCAGTTTTTTTCTAACAAAAACGTGTTATCGGTTTTCATATTTTGTATATTTGAAAATAATTAAAAGACACCCTCCAAAAATAAGCCCTGGTATTTTTTTTTCAAGGAAAATTGAATAAAGACCTTGTCTTATTTTTGGGGAAACACGACATGCTTCTTGTATTATATTATTTTGACTTTGTTGCACACCCTTTTTGTGCACTAATGTTCTCATAGAAAATTTCTTTTAAATGTTAAAATTGTAATCTGGGCATTTTTGTATTATTATTCATTTTATATTGCTCCCATATCATGTAAGATTATTGCATGCTTTGTCAGTGGCCACTACATTTGGATAAGTATTTTATTTCAAGTTTCATTCCAAGCGAAATTCCAATCAAACAGGTTCGAGAAACCCCCTTGCAATTGATTATATTTATTATCATAAAAGATGCCAATCGAAAAAATGTGAAATAACGATTTGACGCGAAACACTCGAAGATCACTCAACATTATTGAAACACACTTATTGTATAATTATATTATACCTGTGAATTTGATTATATTCTGACAACTCATGGACTGTACTGGGAACCTTATTTAAAAATCACTGTTCTTAATCAATGTCACAGATATGTGTTATAAACCACCTTGCACCTGCGAAGTAAGAGATTCTAACCTAAAAACTTGCAGTTTATCAGTAGTGCAATGGAAAGCTTGTTACGAACTCAACTATTAGTAGGGCTGTCCAAGCGAGACGAATATTCGAAATTGATTCTCAAATTTTTTGAATCAAATCGATTAAAGTGGAAAAACAAATTGACTACCTTTGTACATCAGTTTTCACTGGGCAAGCGGCAGTGCATCCTGCGACTCTCGCCTTTCACACACTTGTTTTCCTGATCTTTATCTCCCCTTTCATTTTGCGTTAAAAAATGCCCGGTGGCATGTTATTAGCAATGTCATGCATGGTTATAACTGAAAAGTTATTTTCGGTTCTGTGACTGACAAATCGATTTGTGAAAAATATTCGATTCCAATCATAAAAAATATTTGTTTTTAGACAGCCCTACCTATTAGCCAGTCAATTTAATTATATTTTATAAAAATGTAAGGCTTCACATTTCTCTGGTATACCCACAATCAGTGGGATCTTAATTCTGATATATGTAGCTTCAATTATAATCAGAATTTTCATGAAATGCTGTAAATTAAAATTCCTGACAACTATCAATATAAATGAATTTCAATATGTTTTAACCAATTGCTAAACTTCTCCAGGTTGCATGGACATATTTTAGTGAATATAAAGTAAATAGAGTAATAACTTGACAATGGCAAAGGTTTCGGATAATGAGTTTGATTTGGATATTGATGTGAATGAACACAATGCATTGATGATGGAAAAAATGCATAGTATGAGAATAGACGGACAACATTCTGACCTCGTCATCAAAGTAGGAAGTGAAGAGTTCCTGGTTCACAAAAACATGATGTCAGCTGGGTCTGATTATTTTGATGCGATGTTGTCACATGATAACTTGGAGACCAACACAGGAATTGTTAAAATGCAAGATGTTGATGTGGAATTTGTAAAAGTTTGCATTGATTATATTTACACTGGAAAAGCTTCAATTACTTTGGAGAAAAGTGAACAACTACTCCATGTTGCAACTTTGATGCAGTTGTCAGTACTTTGTGATAAGATAGCCGAGTTTCTCAAAGCTAAGTTGGATGTGAAGTCACTTCTCATCATTCAACAAATTGCTTCTAAGTTCACAATTCAAACATTAAAAACAGCTTGTGATTATTTTGCATTGACTAATATGGGTGCAATTTCTCAGGAAGAATACTTCAATCAATTGGATGTGGAATTCATCTCCCTCATGGTTGGATCGAAAAGTTTTGCCTATTCTGAAGATTCCAAACTTGCTGTTCTTCTGCAGTGGATCAAAGCTGATATTGACCAACGAAGGAAGCTTCTGGTTGAAATGATAAATTTAATAAACCTGAACAATGTTTCTTATCGATATGCAACATTCTTAGTGGAAAATGAAAGACTGTGTTCTGAATCACCTGTGATTTTGAAATTATTGTTTCTCAAAATGGCGGAGAAGATTGGCGTTGAAGGAGCATCTGCAGAAATCCCCGCTAGTGCATCTGAATTCAATGCTTTTGCTGTTTTTGACAAGACTTCCAAAACAATAAATTCATTCTATCCAGAAAAAAGTGAATGGCAGGAATTAAAAAATCTGCATGATAGTATGGTAAACAGCAATTACACTGCTGTCATGGTGAAGGATTTTATCTATGTTTTTATTGGTAATTGTTCAGTATATCGAATTAATATTTCTGAACCAGATTCAACTTGGAATAAAATTGCTGATCATCAATGTCACCATGGTCAATATTTACGAGCAGCAGTTTGTGATGGATTCATTTATTTGTGTGACAAGGAAACATTGGACGAGTACAATATCAGTCAAAACATGTGGACGGTGGTAAAAAGTGAAAAAATTACGCTATACAATTGTACTTTAGTTGGACTGCAGGAATCACTTTATGTAATAGGAGGTTTTTTAAATGGTAGTTCATCCTCAGTGAGTCGATATTCACAACAATCTTCTTGGTCTTCAGTCAAAGCGATGAATGTTTACAGGCAAAATCCTGCTGCTACTGTTTATGGAAATCGAATATTTGTAGCAGGCGGATTTCAAGGTGTATATTTATCTAGTACAGAGTTCTATAATCCACAGACAGATTCTTGGACAAATTTACCATCCATGACTGTTCCTCGGGGTGGTTTTTGTCTTTATGCTGTAGAAAACAAACTATTTGCAATTGGAGGTGATAGAGAGGGATCAAAATCAGTTGAGAAATACAATTTTGAATCAAGTCGTTGGGAGCATCTTATGAATTTTCCAGAAAATATGGATATTGCTCCACGAGCCAGTCTGGCATTTAAACTTCCACCATAGTCAATGATAAATTTATTGCATCAGCATTGAGATTATAAAACAGGCCACTATGAGTTCCACTTGTTTTTGAATGTTTCCATTTTATTGATTCGTATATTTTAAAAATGGGATAATGAAGGATAATATTTGTGAAGTGATTTTTGTGTTAGTGCTGAATTGTACTGACCCTTCCATCTCATCTTTGAGTTTGAGAAACTTAAACAATTTAAATCATGTATTAATATTAACCTCTCCTATACTCTCTATATCTATATAGAGTTTTATACTCTGTATTGTCCTAATTTGGTTCCTTAAATTTCATTTTTGTTCGTTACATGACTTACTGGTGTGAAACTGGCCACTGTCCTTATTCTCTCTTTTATTTGTCTGAGTTCTTTGAATGATTTTTCCAAGGTTCAATTATAGGAAGAAACTTCTTATTTTATATGTTTTGTGTGCGGCTGAACTCAAATTTTTCATTCATTGCAATTATTTTACATATTTAGCAACTTATTTGTATTTTGGCCAAGTTTCTAGTAATCTCAATTTATGTGAAGAATTCAGGTCTCAGTCCTAGAGAATATAATATATCCTATAATTGTTACTTTTTGTATTTGTGTATTTCTTATCTTACGGATGTTTATAAAAGCTTAATTTGGGAGTGAGAATGGACATTACACCTGTTACAGTTTCAAAATAAGATATAGTATTTCAATAATGAATATGACATGGTTGCTGGGTTCATGATACAGTTATCACTTAATTTTCTTCAATATTTTGTAAATCATTGAGATCACATGGAATTGAACTACGGTATGTTAGGATTACAGTTCAACATCTTAGATTCAAACCCCATGCCGACCACCTCACTTAGTACGACTTGTATCACAACTTAGATGGTCTAACTTTCTCATGCTGACCCATATATAACGATACTTTGCTTTCCTATATTCTTCATATAATAATTCTTATACTTGGCTAAATCGTGGAATCAGACTTGCGTTGTAGCATTTAGCAACCACTGTCAATGGCAATAAATTTTGAATCACCAACAGAGTTCGTTATTGTGCATTGCCAAACGAGATTTTTTAAAATAATTGTGTCTAGAAGATGGGAAAAAAAGTAAGGAGCTAGTTCTTCAAATATACTGTATGCTATGCATGGAACCTTTCACTGCATTTATTATTGTGTTGTATTATATTTAGTTTTATATTTAGTGAGTTGTCTAAATATTTTATTACAATGGAATTTGATCTTGGTATTGATGAAAATGAACACAAAAACATAATGATGACGAAACTTGATGATTTGAGAAAAAAGAAACGCCATTCCGATCTCACAATCAAAGTAGGAAGTGAAGAGTTCCTGGTTCACAAGAACATGATGTCAGCTGGTTCTGATTATTTTGATGCAATGTTGTCACATGATAACTTAGAGACCAACACAGGAATTGTTAAAATGTAAGATGTTGATGTGGAATCAGTAAAGGTTTGCATTGATTACATTTACACTGGAAAAGCTTCAATAACTTTGGAAAAAATTGAACAACTACTCCATGTTGCAACTTTGATGCAATTATCAGTACTTTGTGATAAGATAGCTGAGTTTCTGAAAGCTAAGTTGGATGTGAAATCATTTCTCATCATCAAACAAATTGCTTCTATGTTTGAAATTCCAACATTAAAAACAGCATGTGATGATTTTGCATTGACTAATATGGGAGCAATTTCTCAGGAAGAATACTTTAATGAATTGGATGTGGAATTCATCTCTTTCATGGTTGGATCCAAAAATTTAGCTTATTCTGAAGATTCCAAACTTGCTGTTCTTCTGCAGTGGATCAAAGCTGATATTGGCCAACGAAGGAAGCTTCTGGTTGAAATGATAAGTCTGATAAACCTGAACAATGTTACTTATCGATATGCAACATTCTTAGTGGGAAATGAAAGCCTGTGTTCTGAATCACCTGTGATCATGAAATTATTGTTTCTTAAAATGGTTGAAAAGTTTGGTGTTAAAGAAGCATCTGCAGAACTTCCTGCTTGTGCATCTGAATTCAATGCTTTGGCAGTTTTTGACAAGACTTCAAAAACAATAAAAACATTGGAGCCGAAAAAAAATGAATGGCAGGACCTGAAAAATTTGCATGATAGTATGGTAAACAGCTTTTACACTGCAGTCATGGTGAAGGATTTCATCTATGTTTTCATGGAAAATTGTTCAGTATATCGTATTAATATTTCTGAACCAGATTCAACTTGGAATAAAATGGCTGATCAACAATGTCACCATGGCCAGTGTTTACGAGCAGCAGTTTGTAATGAATTCATTTATCTGTGTGACAATGGTACATTGAAGGAATATGATATCAGCAAAAACGTGTGGAGTGTGGTAAAAAGTGAAAAGATTTTGTTAAAATATTGTACATTAGTTGGACTCCAGGAATCACTTTATGCGATTGGAGGATACTCGGGTCGTAGTTTATCATCAGTGAAGCGATATTCACTACCATCCTCTTGGTCTTCAGTCAACGCTATGAATGTTCCAAGGCGGCTTCCTGCAGCCACTGTTCACGGGAATCGAATATTTGTGGCAGGCAGATGGAATATTACATACTTGTCTAGTTCAGAGTTTTACGACCCACAAACAGAATGTTGGACAAATTTAGCATCTATGATCGTTCCTCGATATAGTTTTTGCCTTTCTACTGTTTGCGGTGAATTATTTGCAATAGGAGGTAAAGAAGACGGATCAAAATCAATTGAGAAAAACAGTTTTAGTTCAAGTCGTTGGGAGCATCTTATGAATATTCCAGAAAATATTGCTCGACTTGCCAGTCTGGCATGTAAACTTCCACCATAGTAAATGCTAAATTCATTGCATCAGCATTATGAATATATGAAACAGTCCACTATGAGTTCCACTTGGTTTTTGAATATTCGTCTTCAATTGATTTAGTTATTTTAATGTTATATGTAGCTAACAATGATGACAATTTTCTGTAATTAGGCCGAATTTTATTGATATGCTTCATCTCATTATTATGTTTGAGAAACTCAACCAATTCAAATCATGTATTAATATGTAGTTTTATTCCATAGTATATGTGTAGGTATATACCAGGGGCGGGCAATTACTTTTCTGAGTAGGCCAGTTACAGATTAGTTAGATTTGTTAATTGGGGCTCAAATCTCAATATGAAACTACTATGGATTAAAAACAGTTTATTTACAGCAGCTAGGTTAACTTTAATATAATAATAAGCACAGTTTTACAATCATGGTCAGTATGACATTATTTTCATCGATGTTTTCACTTGAAGACTATAGTCGTAATTTCAGCAGACACAAGTGGGCCAGATGAAACACTTCTGTAGGGCCGTAATTTGCCCACCCCTATTCTATATGTTGTATCGGTCAAATTTGGTTTGTTCCATTAATTCATTTTTATTCAAAACATATTTTGATGGTGTGAAACTGGCCTGTGATGTATGCAGTACGTATTGATTTACTGTTAATTATTACAAATATTGTTGTTGGTTTTTTATTTGTTACATTTATCTTTACATATTTTTCGGTTTAATATCTAAAAATCCCATTGACTTACAACATTTAATATTGGTTTATCGCGTCTCCCTTCACACTGAAATGCATTTTTTTTATCTTTTTTTATTCAATGTTTATTTTCGGCATGTTTAAAAATTAACTACTGATTACTGGTGGTTACAAAAGCTTAATTTGGGAGTGAGAAGGGGACATTACACCCATTACAGTTTCAAGAAAAACATATTTCAATGACAAATATGACATGGTTACTGGGTTCATGATACAGTGGCTCTTGTTTTTCTATTATCCTGTATAACATTGTGAGCACATATATGATCGAACATCTTAGATTCAAATCCCATGGCTGCCACCTAAATTAGTACGACTTTTATATCACAACCTAGATGATGTAAATACCATTTGTTAGCTTTTTATACTTTGCTTTCTTATATTCTTCATTTAATATTTCTTATACTTAGCTAATTCATTGAATCAGACATATGCATCGATGACAATAAAATTTTGAGTCACCAACAAAATTTGTTATTGTGCATTCCCAGATAAGGTTTTTATAATTTTAGATAATTGTGTTAAGAAGTTGGAATAAAAATTAATCAGGAATTTCTTCAAATATATTGTATGAAATGCTATGCATGTTACATTTTACTGCATTTAATATTGTTGTATCATATTTAGTTTTAAATCTAGTGAGTTGTCTAAAGATCGGTGATATGTAATTATCGGTTCGGTAATAAACGCAGATTCGAGGAAAATATTCGATTTGAATCATAAAAAATATTCGATCTTGGACATCCCTACCTATTAGCCAGTCATTTAATTATATTTTATAAACATGCAAGACTTTACCTGCCTCTTGTATACCCACAATTAGTGGAACCTTAATTAGGATATATGTAGCTTCAATTAGAATCAAAATTTTCATGAAATGCTGTAAATGAAAATTCCTGACAACTATCAATATAAACCTAATGAATTTCAATATTGTTTTTAACCAATTGCTAAACTTCTCCAGGTTGCATCGTCATATTTTAGTGAAAATAAGTTAAATACAGTGATAATTTGATGGCTAAGGTTTCGGATGACGAGTTTGATTTGGATATTGATGTAAATGAACACAATGCATTGATGATGGGAAAAATGCATAGTATGAAAAAAGACGGACAACATTCTGACCTCGTCATCAAAGTAGGTAGTGAAGAGTTCCTGGTTCACAAGAACATGATGTCAGCTGGTTCAGATTATTTTGATGCAATGTTGTCACATGATAACTTGGAAACCAACACAGGAATTGTTAACATGCAAGATGTTGATGTGGAATCAGTAAAGGTTTGCATTGATTACATTTACACTGGAAAAGCTTCAATTACTTTGGAAAAAAGTGAACAAATACTCCATGTTGCAACTTTGATGCAATTATCAGTACTTTGTGAGAATATAGCTGAGTTTCTCAAAGCTAAGTTGAATGTGAAATCACTTCTCATCATCAAACAAATTGCTTCTATGTTTGAAATTCAAACATTAAAAACAGCATGTGATGATTTTGCATTGACTAATATGGGAGCAATTTCTCAGGAAGAATACTTCAATGAATTGGATGTGGAATTCATCTCTTTCATGGTTGGATCGAAAAGTTTTGCCTATTCTGAAGATTCCAAACTTGCTGTTCTTCTGCAGTGGATCAAAGCTGATATTGACCAACGAAGGAAGCTTCTGGTTGAAATGATAAATTTAATAAACCTGAACAATGTTTCTTATCGATATGCAACATTCTTAGTGGAAAATGAAAGACTGTGTTCTGAATCACCTGTGATTTTGAAATTATTGTTTCTCAAAATGGCGGAGAAGTTTGGCGTTGAAGGAGCATCTGCAGAAATCCCCGCTAGTGCATCTGAATTCAATGCTTTTGCTGTTTTTGACAAGACTTCCAAAACAATAAATTCATTCTATCCAGAAAAAAGTGAATGGCAGGAATTAAAAAATCTGCATGATAGTATGGTAAACAGCAATTACACTGCTGTCATGGTGAAGGATTTTATCTATGTTTTCATGGAAAATTATTCAGTATATCGTATTAATATTTCTGAACCAGATTCAACTTGGAATAAAATTGCTGATCATCAATGTCACCATGGTCAATATTTACGAGCAGCAGTTTGTGATGGATTCATTTATTTGTGTGACAAGGAAACATTGGACGAGTACAATATCAGTCAAAACATGTGGACGGTGGTAAAAAGTGAAAAAATTACGCTATACAATTGTACTTTAGTTGGACTGCAGGAATCACTTTATGTAATAGGAGGTTTTTTAAATGGTAGTTCATCCTCAGTGAGTCGATATTCACAACAATCTTCTTGGTCTTCAGTCAAAGCGATGAATGTTTACAGGCAAAATCCTGCTGCTACTGTTTATGGAAATCGAATATTTGTAGCAGGCGGATTTGAAGGTGTATATTTATCTAGTACGGAGTTCTATAATCCACAAACAGATTCTTGGACAAATTTATCATCCATGACTGTTCCTCGGGGTAATTTTTGTCTTTATGCTGTAGAAAACAAACTATTTGCAATTGGAGGTAATAGAGAGGGATCAAAATCAATTGAGAAATACAATTTTGAATCAAGTCGTTGGGAGCATCTTATGAATTTTCCAGAAAATATGGATATTGCTCCACGAGCCAGTCTGGCATTTAAACTTCCACCATAGTCAATGATAAATTTATTGCATCAGCATTGAGATTATAAAACAGGCCACTATGAGTTCCACTTGTTTTTGAATGTTTCCATTTTATTGATTCGTATATTTTAAAAATGGGATAATGAAGGATAATATTTGTGAAGTGATTTTTGTGTTAGTGCTGAATTGTACTGACCCTTCCATCTCATCTTTGAGCTTGAGAAACTTAAACAATTTAAATCATGTATTAATATTAACCTCTCCTATACTCTCTATATCTATATAGAGTTTTATACTCTGTATTGTCCTAATTTGGTTCCTTAAATTTCATTTTTGTTCGTTACATGACTTAATGGTGTGAAACTGGCCACTGTTCTTATTCTCTCTTTTATTTGTCTTTACTGGCTCTATAGCTGAAGCAATGAGTTCTATGAATGATTTTTCCGAGGTTTAATTATAGGAAGAAACTTCTTATTTATAAGTTTTGTGTGCGGCTGAACTCAAATTTTTCATTCATTGCAATTATTTTACATATTTAGCAACTTATTTGTATTTTGGCCAAGTTTCTAGTAATCTCAATTTATGTGAGAAATTTAGGTCTCACTCCTAGTGAACTATATCCTATAATTGTTACTTTTTGTATTTGTGTATTTCTTATCTTACGAGTGTTATAAAAAGCTTAATTTGGGAGTGAGAATGGACATTACACCTGTTACGGTTTCAAAATAACATATAGTATTTCAATAATGAATATGACATGGTTGCTGGGTTCATGATACAGTTATCACTTAATTTTCTTCAATATTTTGTAAATCATTGAGATCACATGGAATTGAACTACGGTATGTTAGGATTACAGTTCAACATCTTAGATTCAAACCCCATGCCGACCACCTCACTTAGTACGACTTGTATCACAACTTAGATGGTCTAACTTTCTCAAGCTGACCCATATATACTTTGCTTTCCTATATTATTCATATAATAATTCCTATACTTGGCTAAATCGTGGAATCAGACTTGTGTTGTAGCATTTAGCAACCACTGTCAATGGCAATAACTTTTGAATCACCAACAGAGTTCGTTATTGTGCATTGCCAAACGAGATTTTTATAATATCTGTGTCGAAAAGTTGGAATAAAAATCATTCAACAATTTCTTCACATATATTGTATGCTATGCATGGAACTTCCACTGCATTTAATATTGTGTTGTATTATATTTAGTTTTAAATCTAGTGTATATCTAGATGATGTAACTTTCTTTTGTTGTGGAGTCAGTTGAAAGTTTTTCAGGACCTTATAACTCTCCTATCAATAAACATCTGGAATGAAAAATAAACAATTATCATTCGGTACATGTTTGAATTTCTTGACCGAATATCTGAATACTATCATGTTCCGTTCCAACTTCCGAAAAACATAGAACAAGATTTCTTTGTGAAAGGTTCAGTTAAAGCTCAGCGTCTTGACATTTCTGTAAATAGAAGTTTACAAGAAGCATGTGAAGCAGTTTGTCTTCCACGGAATCTTCCAATGCTTTGGTACTTCATATGCTATATTACACAAAAATGGAAGGACATGTTGTTTGGTACTGATAGAATCTTCCTTCTTGCTCATTATTTGAATGAGCCATGGCCAGTGTTCCCGAAATAATGATTGAATATGAACTGATAAGTAAATTGAACTCGGTTTTCATATTTTGCATATTTAAAAATCTTTTAATTCTTTACTGTGTAATTTTGTTTTTGATGAATGAAAATAAAAAATCCTCTAAAAATAAGCCCTTGTGTTATTTTTTGAAAGAAAATTGAAATAAGACCCGGTCTAATTTTTGAGAAAACACGGTATACTTCTTGTATTATATTATTTTGACTTTGTAGCACACCCATTTTGTGCACCAATGTTGTCATAAAAATTTTATTGGGTTATTTTTAAATTATTCATTTTGTATTGCTTTCATATCATGTAAGATTATTGCATACTTTGTCAATGGCCACATTTAAATTTACATTTTGATGAAAATTTTGAGTTAAGTTCCATTTGTCTTTGAATGTGATCATATTTTTTGTTCATTTGCTCGGAACAAGGCTTTAGACAAATTATAGCAAAAATATATTTGTTGTTGAACCGATTAATCATCATTAGTTAGTATAATAGAAAAAGCCCTTTCATATTCATCCCATAAGGAGTGAAAATCAATACCATAGCTTAGTCATATAGTGAACTACTTACTGCCTCTTATTCAATTACCAGACCAAGAGGTATATTTTCTCTGGTTATTCAGCCTAGATCAGTGGTTTTGAACCTTTTTGGTGTAGCGAAATATTGCCCTTCGCATAACTGGTTTCTCAATATTTCTCTCACCTTCATTTTGTGTTGAAAAAAATGCCTAGTAGCCTGTTATCAGCAATTTCATGCATGTTCATAACTGAAAGATTCAGTGATAAACACCGATTAGAGAAAAATATTCGATTCAAGTCGAAAAATTATTCGATTTTGGACAGTCCTACCTATTAGCCAGTCAATTGAACCATATTTTATAAACATGCAAGACTTTACATGCCCCTTGTATACCAACAATTAGTGGTAGCTTAATTTTGAAGCATGTAGCTTCAATTGGAATCAAAATTTTCATGAAATGCTCCATTTGATGATTTCTAGTAGCTATCAACATAAACCCAACCCAATAAATTCCAGTAATATTTTTTAACCAGTTGCTAAACTTCTCCAGGTTGCATGGTCATATTTTTTGTGAATATAAGTTAAATACAGTAATAACTTGACAATGGCAAAGGTTTCAGATGATGAGTTTGATTTGGATATTGATGTAAATGAACACAATGCATTGATGATGGAAAAAATGCATAGTATGAGAAAAGATGGACAGCATTCTGACCTCGTCATCAAAGTAGGAAGTGAAGAGTTCCTGGTTCACAAGAACATGATGTCAGCAGGTTCTGATTATTTTGATGCCATGTTATCACATGATAACTTAGAGACCAACACAGGAATTGTTAAAATGCAAGATGTTGATGTGGAATCAGTAAAGGTTTGCATTGATTACATTTACACTGGAAAAGCTTCAATTACTTCGGAGAAAAGTGAACGACTACTCCATGTTGCAACTTTGATGCAGTTATCAGTACTTTGTGATAAGATAGCCGAGTTTCTCAAAGCTAAGTTGGACGTGAAAACACTTCCCTTTATCAAACAAACTGCTTCTATGTTTGAAATCCAAACATTAATAACAGCTTGTGATGATTTTGCACTGTCTAATATGGGAGCAATTTCTCAGGAAGAATACTTCAATGAATTGGATGTGGAATTCATCTCTTTCATGGTTGGATCGAAAAATTTATCTTATTCTGAAGATTCTAAACTTGCTGTTCTTCTGCAGTGGATCAAAGCTGATATTGACCAACGAAGGAAGCTTCTGGTTGAAATGATAAATCTGATAAACCTGAACAATCTTTCTTCTCCATATGCAACATCCTTGGTGGAAAATGAAAGCCTATGTTCTGAATCACCTGTAATCATGAAATTATTGTTTCTCAAAATAGCTGAGAAAATTGGTGTTAAAGGAGAATTTGTACAAATTCCTGCTAATTCCTTTGAATTCGATGTCTTTGCTGTTTTTGACAAGTTTTCGAGGAAAATCAAAACATTCCAGTCGGAAACAAATGAATGGCAGGATCTAAAAAATCTGCATGATAGTATGGTAAATAGCTATTACACTGCAGTCATGGTGAAGGATTTTATCTACGTTTTCATGGAAAATTGTTCAGTATATCGAGTTAATATTTTTGACACCGATTCAACTTGGGAATAAAATGGCTGATCATCAATGTCACCATGGCCAATATTTACGAACAGCAGTTTGTAATGGATTCATTTATTTGTGTGACAATGAAACATTGGCGGGATACAATATCAGAAAAAATATCTGGCGTGTGATCAAAAGTGAAAAAGTTATGTTGAAGTTTTGTGCATTAGTTGGACTGCAAGAATCAATTTATGTGTTAGGGGGTTATTTTGAAGGTCGGAGTTTATCATCAGTGAATCGATATTCCCAAGTGTCCCTTTGGTCCGCAATCAAAGCGATGAATGTTGCTAGACAGGTTCCTGCTGCTACTGCTTATGGGAATCGAATATTTGTGGCAGGCGGATTTGACAATGGATCCTTAGCCAGTTCAGAGTTTTATGATCCACTGATAGATTCTTGGACAAATTTAGCTTCTATGACTGTTCCTCGGTATAGTTTTTGCCTTTCTACTGCTTGCAGTGAATTATTTGCAATAGGGGGTAAAGAAGACAGAACAAGATCAATTGAGAAATACAATTTTGAATCAAGTCGTTGGGAGCATCTTTTGAATTTTCCAAGAAATATGAATATTGCTCGAGTTGCCAGTCTGGCATTCAAACTTCCACAATAGTAAATGCTATATTTATTGCATCTGCATTAAGAGTGTATGAAACAGACCACTATGAGTTCCACTTGATTGTTAAGCATTTCAATTATTTGAATTATCTATTTTGATAATATATGTAGCAAACATAGAATGATTATTATAGGACAATTTCAGTATACAGTGGTATACTGAAGCATACATTCAGTATACAAGTGGGCCAGATGAAATACTTACCGTAAGTGGGCCATAATTTGCCCACTCCTGTTCTATACTCTGTATCGTTTAAATTTGGTTTGTTCCTCAAATTTATTTTTCTTTAAAACATAACTTGATGGTGTGAAACTGGCACCTGTTTTTTTATGCCTGTTTTGCTTTTTTTCCTGAATGACAAGGCTGTTGAGGAAATGAGATTTATTAAATTTCTTTTCAATACGATTTCAATTTAAGGAAGAAGCTCCCACCCTTGATGAGCCTAATTTGTGGCTGAATTCAAAAGATATATGCACTGATTTACTGTTTATTATTATAAATATTTATATATATTGTATTTTGTTTTTTATTTACCGGTATCACATTTATAACTATATATTTTTTAGCCAAGTTTCTGAAAATCTTCTTTTATGGGTAAATTTTTGGTTCCATTGTAAGTGAATTATATCTTATAATTGTTACCTTTTGTATTTGTATTTTTCTTCAGCTTGCTGGTGGGTGCAAAAGCCTAATTTGGGATTGAGATGAGACTTTACACTCATCATAGTTAGAGAAAATAATTAATTTGACAATGTATGCTAATAAAAAGGCATGGTTACTGGGTTCATCATACAGTGGTTATTTGATTTTTGTATTGTTCTGTATAACATTGTAATCACATATGATCGAACTATGTGAGGATCATAGTTTAGGATCTTGGATTGAAACGCCATGCCCACTGCCTCACCTAGTACTAATTGTATATCACAACTTAGATGATGTAACTTTTTGTTGTTGACCCATATATACATTTCTTACCTCTATTTTTTATTTACATTAATAAATCGTGGCGGTGTGGCTCATCCGGCTAAGCGTCGAATCCCATGCAGGGATAGTTATGTGTGAGAGGATTGCTGGGCTCCTCGCCGCCATATGGTGGTTTAGTAACCGCCGGTCAGTTACGGCATCCTCCATCAAGTCTATGCTTCCGAAAACAGATAACTAACTAATTCCATGCCCGACATAAGGTTAAGTTGTGTTGTCGACTTTCCTCTCCCCCGGGATAAATATGTAAATCCTAATCTCATACTTGGTTAAATCGAGAATAAGACATGTCTTGCAGCATTGAGCAAGCACTGCCAATGGCAAAAAAATTCAGAGTCATCTACAGAATTTGTAATTATGCATTCCCAATCGAGATTTTTATAATAATTGTGTTGAGAAGCTGGAGTGAAAATTTATCAGCAATTTCCTCAAATATTTTGTATGAAATGCTATACATGGAACACTTTACTGGCTGCATTTAATATTGTGTTGTATTATATTTAGTTTTATATCTAGTGAGTTGTCCAAATATTTTATTACAATGGAATTTGATCTTGGTATTGTTGAGAATGAACACAAGAACATAATGATGAACATGATGATGACGAAAGATGATGATCTGAGAAAGAGGAAACGTCATTCTGATCTCACAATTAAAGTAGGAAATGGAGTTATCATTCATTTGATTATCAATGTTGATGCTCAGATTCGATTAGAAAATTGCAGAACCCCTGTACTGTATTGGAGGCACCCTTAGAAATGTCACAGATATAGATAATGAATACCTTGCACCTGCGAAATATCAAGCGTTCCTGTCACTTATGATCATCTCACGATATTCTAACTTGCATGTTATCAGCATTGCAATGGCAAGCTTGTTCCAAAATTACCTATTAGTAGGGCTGTCCAAGCGAACAGAGTATTCAAAATCAAATCGCAAGTTTTTCGAATCATTTTTGGGCTGATTTGCAAATCGCGAAAATTTGGTACATAAAGCGAAAAAAGCCTATTGACTACCTTTGCACAGCGTTTTTCTACCTTTGCACAGCGTTTTTCACTGAGCAACCGGCAGCGCCTTGTGCTTAGATGACTCTCGTCTTTCGCATAACTGGTTTCCCGATATTTCTCTCTCCTACATATTTCGTTAGAAAAGAATGCCTGGTGGTACGTTATTAGCAATTTCATGCATGTTCATAATTGAAAAGTCATTATCGATTCGAATCAAAAAACAATTCGATTTTGGAAAGCCCTACCTATTAGCCAGTCAATTTATATATCTTATAAACATGCAAGACTCTACATTCCTCTAGTATACCAACAATTGGTTGCACCTCAATTATGAAGCATGTAGTTTCAATTAGAATCAGAATTTTTACGTAATGCTGTATTCGCAGTCTCTATCAACATAAACCTAATCTAATGGATTCCAGTAATATTTTTTAACCAATTGCTAAACTTCTCCAGGTTGCATGGTTATATTTATTGTGAATATAAGTTAAAGTAATAACTTGACGATGGCAAAGGTTTCAGATGATGAGTTTGATTTGAATATTAATGTGAATGAACACAATGCATTGATGATGGCAAAATTGCATAGTATGAAAAAAGATGGACAACATTCTGACCTCGTCATCAAAGTAGGAAGTGAGGAATTCCTGGTTCACAAGAACATGATGTCAGCGGGTTCTGATTATTTCGATGCGATGTTGTCACATGATAACTTGGAGACCAACACAGGAATTGTTGAAATGCAAGATGTTGATGTGGAATCTGTAAAAGTTTGCATTGATTACATTTACACTGGGAAAGCTTCAATTAGTTTGAAGAAAAGTGAACAACTACTCCATGTTGCAACTTTGATGCAATTATCAGTACTTTGTGATAAGATAGCTGAGTTTCTCAAAGCTAAGTTGGATGTGAAATCATTTCTCATCATCAAACAAATTGCTTCTATGTTTGAAATTCCAACATTAAAAACAGCATGTGATGATTTTGCATTGACTAATATGGGAGCAATTTCTCAGGAAGAATACTTCAATGAATTAGATGTGGAATTCATCTCTTTCATGGTTGGATCGAAAAATTCAGCTTATTCTGAGGATTCTAAACTTGCTGTTCTTCTTCAGTGGATCAAAGCTGATATTGGCCAACGAAGGAAGCTTCTGGTTGAAATGATGAATCTGATAAACCTGAACAATGTTTCTTTTCAATATGCGACGTTCTTGGTGGGGCATGAAAGCCTGTGTTCCGAATCACTTGTAATCGTGAAATTATTGTTTCTCAAAATGGCTGAGAAGTCTGGTGTTAAAGAAGCATCTGCAGAAATCCCCACTTGTGCATCTGAATTCAATGCCATTGCTGTTTTTGACAAGACATCGAGAAAAATCAAAACATCCCAGCCAGCGAAAAATGAATGGCAGGAACTAAAACATTTGCACGATAATATGGTGAGAAGCTTTTTCACTGCAGTCAAGGTGAAGGATATCATCTATGTTTTTATGGAAAATCGTTCAGTATATTGTATTGATATTTCTAGAACAGATTCAACTTGGAATAAAATGGCTGATTCTCAATTTAACCATGGCATGTTTCTACGAACAGCAGTTTGTAATGAATTTATTTATTTGTGTGGCAAAGAAAAATTGGAAAAGTACGATATAGTCGAAAATATGTGGAGTGTGGTGAAAACTGATAGAATTACACTACGCAGCTGTGCATTAGCTGGATTCCAGCAATCAATTTACATACTAGGAGGTTCTAATAATGGTAGTTTATCATCGGTGAATCGATATTCACTGCCATCCACTTGGTCTTTATGCAAAGCCATGAATGTTCCTCGGGAGCTTCCTGCTGCCACTGTTTATAGGAATCGACTATTTGTGGCTGGAGGATTAAATAATGTAAACTTATCAAGTTCAGAGTTTTATGATTCTCAAACAGATTCTTGGACAAATTTATCATCTATGACTGTTCCTCGGTATATTTTTTGCCTTTGCACTGTTGGTGATGAATTATTTGCAATAGGAGGTAAAAAAGACGGATCAAAATCAATTGAGAAATACAATTTTGAATCAAGTAGTTGGGAACATTTTATGAATTTTCAAGAAAATATGAATATTGCTCCACTTGCCTGTCTGGCTTTTAAACTACCACTATAGTTAATTTTCTATCTATTGCATCAACATTGAAGATGTCTGAAACACTCTAATTTTTTAATTGTTCCTATTTCATTAATTTATATACCGGTATTTTAATATTGGGATAATAATTGTGAAATGATTTTTGTGTTCGTGCCTAAATTGTACTGACTTGTTCCATCTCATCTTTGAGTTGAGAAACTCACAACAATTTAAATCATGTGTTAATATGAAATTTTTCTTATACTCTTCCTATACTCTTTATATCCTGATGCAATAATATTGTGTAATTACGGTAAATACTCTGTATTGCTCTCATCAGATTTGTCCCATAAACTTAATTTCTGTCCGGTACACGGCTTACTGGTGTGAAACTGACAACTGTTCTTTATTCTCTGAAGAAATGAGTTCTATGAAATTTTTTACCAAGGTTTAATTTTTGGAAGAAACTTCTTATCTTATAAGTTTTTTTTGTTGCCAAACTCAAAGGGATTTGTACTGTTTGCTTTGTATTAGTATAAACATTGTACAAAGTTTATAATTTATTGCAATTATTTATATATTTTTCAGCTTATTTGTATTTTGGCCAAGTTTTTATTAATCTCAATTTTTGTGAGGAATTTCAGGTCTCAGTGCTAGTAAACTATATCCTATAATTATTACTTTTCTTTATTTGTTCATGTTTTTAGCTTACATGTTGTTACGAAAGCTTAATATAGGATTGAAATGAGACATTTCACCCTTATCAGTTTAAAGAAAAACACATTTCAATGCATGCAAATAAAGAAGTCATGGTTACTGGGTTCACAATACAGTGGCTACTTGATTTTCTATTGTTTTGTAAATTATTGTGAACACATAATATGTTCGAAATGTGTTAGAATCACAGTTTAGGATATTGGATTGAAACCTCATGCCCACAGCCTCGTCTAGTACGACTTGTATATTACAACCTAGATCAGCGGTTCCACTGGTGGGTCGCAAAAGGAATCTTAGTGGGTCATGAAATGATGTAGAAAGCTTTGATTTAATATACTGGGTATTAGGATCGGTATCGACTCTAATATCTAAATCAACAGAAAAAAAAAAATTAAAATTTTAATCTGTAAAGGTTTCCTTTTTACGATCTTCTCAAATGAATAAAAATTTGCTTTATAAAGACTGAGTATTTGGCTTTTTTTTACGCATAGCAGTTTTGTACACTGTACAGCACTTCTTACCATGTTTAGATAGGATTTAGATTTATTTTCTTTTGAAAAATAACACTATGTTTTTTTTTTGGAAGAGGTCTTTTGTGTTCATTTATCAAAAATAAAATTACATTGTAGAAAATCACAAGATTTTTCAATAAACATTATATAACAACCGGCATCCATTGTTTTTATTTGTATTTACTATACAAAAATCAAGTGACAAATATCATAATTGTGATTGTGACATCACACAATCTTGAATAGTGGTGTTATCTCTTATCTGACCCATATTTTCTTATATTTTTCATTTAATAATTCTCATACTTGGCTGAATCGCTGAATCAGACTTGCGTTGTGGCATTGAGAAAGCACTGTCAATTGCAATAAAATTTGGAGTCACCAACAGAGTTTGTTATTGTGCATTCCCAGATAAGGGTTTTATAATTTTAAATAATTGTGTTAAGAAGGAATAAAAGTTAATCAGCACTTGCTTCAAATATATTGTATGCAATGCTATGCATGGAATAATTTATCGCATTTAATGTTGTGTTGTATTATATTTTGTTTTATATCTAGTGAGTTTTCTAAATATTTGATTACAATGGAATTTGATCTTGGTATTGATGAAAATGAACACAAGAACATAATGATGATGAAACTTGATGATTTGAGAATAAAGAAACGCCATTCTGATCTCACAATCAAAGTAGGAAGTGAAAAGTTCCTGGTTCACAAGAACATGATGTCAGCTGGTTCTGATTACTTCCATGCGATGTTGTCACATGATAACTTGGAGACTAACACAGGAATTGTTGACATGCAAGATGTTGATGTGGAATCGGTAAAAATTTGCATTGATTACATTTACACTGGAAAAGCTTCAATTACTTTGGAAAAAAGTGAACAACTACTCCGTGTTGCAACTTTGATGCAGTTATCAGTACTTTGTGAGAAGATAGCTGAATTTCTGAAAGCTCACATAAATTCGAAATCCTTCTTTAACATTAAACAACTTGCAACATTGTTTGATAATGCCAATTTGGAAACAATCTGCGACAATTATGCTGTATCAAACATGGGCGCAATCATGCTAGAAAACGAATTTAAACTTCTTGATATGGACTATATTTTGTTCCTAATAAGTACCAAGAATCAGTCATATTCCGAAGATTCTAAGCTTGCGGCATTGTTGATCTGGGTCAAAGCAGATGTTGAGAACCGACGTGAGAACTTCGTTACAATGTTGCAGCAGCTTAATCAGCATAATATTTCATCAAATTACATTAGATATCTCACTGAAAATGAGAGTTTATGCTTTGAATCAGCAGAGTGCATGAAACTGTTTGTAACGATTATGGTGAGTGAGTCGACAAGTATTCCTACCAGTGTCCCGCAACACTCAAATTCGATACGAAATGCTCTAGCGGTTTTCGATAAATCATCCTCAACACTGCGTACATATAAACCTGCAGAAAATAAGTGGGCAGAATTTTGCAAACTTGAGGCTGATAGAGTGACAGGAAATTTTACTTCTGTCTTGTTGCATGATTACTTATACTTAATCAAACAGGATCGCAAAGTTTACAGAATTAATATGAATAAGGAGGATTCGTCTTGGGATAAACTTGCAAGTTTAATAGGAAACCATGGAGGTTTCATTACTGCAACTGTTCATAACGGTGTTGTTTACGTCGGAGGTGAGAATGCGATAGAGCAATACAGCTACAGAAGAAACGAATGGATCGAACTTCTGAAATACGATGTTGTGAGAACACAGTACACTTTGATTGGAAGCCTGGATCATATATATTGTTTGGGTGGCCACTCGAAAGTAAGTCTGAAAAATGTAACGAAGTACTGTACTGAGACAGGTATTTGGTCATCAGTGAATCCCATGAGGTTTGCAAGACGAACTCCTGCTGTTGCTGTATACGCAGATAGTCTTTATGCAGCGGGTGGATATAATGAGGGTAGAGTAACTCATACAGAATGTTTTGATTTGAAAACACAGACATGGGTTACTCTGAAACCAATGACTATTCCCCGTACCTGCTTTCGACTCTGTGTTATTGGAAGTGAATTGTTTGCAGTTGGAGGGGAAGAAACAGGCACTAACTCAATTGAAAAGTTCAGTTTGTCAGAGAAGACATGGCATCATGTAACAAATCCTACTGGAATGGATATAAGATCAATGGCAACAGAATCAGTGCGGATTAATGATTGAGATTTAAAACTTGAAGCGTTTTCTGACTGGCTTTCAGTATAATGACCTGATTTCTGATATTTGCCTAAAATGTGGAAAGACGCCTGATGGGTATTCTTCAAAGAAAACTTTTTTCATTGCATTCATCAGAAAATCTGATTTCATTCACATTAGCGCTGAACGAACTTCATTCGGCGTGAACCATGAGTCCGGTTAAAGTGCAATGGCCAGAGCATAAAAGTTTGACCTTATCTATCATCTATTCATGGTTATTTATGGTGAATTGTTTTTTGATATGGTCTTTCAATTCTTAAATGCACGACGGTTGGTGCATCGCGCTTGCTATCGCATATTGGTCCTCTGCGTTTTGTCACTTTTGTGTTTGTTCGTTTGTTGTTTTCTTGTTTTATAGCAGAGCGACCGAAATAAAATTGATTGATTGATTGATCTGTTGACCCTGCGTGAATCTGCAGGTTTAAATCCTGTGGGGATAATTAACTCCTTGCCACTGTAGGGTGGTTCACGTAGCCGCTGGTCAGTTACGATTTCCTCTGCCATCAAGTTCATGCCTAATTAGTGTCCACTAGATACAATTAAATTGTAAAAACATGCACTAATTTTAACTTTTTTACCAGGGAAATTCTGCATTCAATTTGTATTTTCTTTTCTTTATTCTTATTAATTGTAACTGTTCATTCATTGCGTTATACTTTTATAATGTAGAATTGCCTAAGGAATTCAGTTTAATCATGATAAGAATTTGATGAAAACTGGATTCACATAACTTATAGAATAGGGATACAGAGTGTTTGGGGGTGCCATGTAATGTTGCAAAAACATACAATATTTAGGTGATAAAACAATTTGTAATTAGACCGGCCTTACTTCAATCGTACTATAAGTGAATTGTATAGTATTTCCATATAAGATTTGCGATAGCATTGATATTGCTTTTTGATTCTTATATTCAAACGAATCCATGTTTTTATACATGAAATGGAGTATAAGAAACCGCTTTAGTCCTGACATAAAGCTCATAACTGGGCAATGCCAATCGAAGATTATAAGATTTGCGGAAAACATGTAACAGCAAGTTCCTCACTGCTGCAGATGTATGGGCATATTCAATAGATAAATAGGCAAATCTTCTTTGCTTCCATATTTAGAATAGTGAGAGACCCATTTAGTAAAAATGTGCCATGCCTGTTCTAAAATATATAATTTTAAACAACACTATCACTGAACTGACAATTTTATTGTTCGTGATAGCAGCTAAATGCAGTTTATATCACAGATGCGAGTTTATCAAATCAAAAAAATACCGATAATATAATCATTTTAGGTGAATGAACACGTACCACCACTTCATGGCAAAGCCTTCCATATTATATTCTGTATGTTTTAAAAATATATCTATGGTTTTGTTTGCTCCTGATTTCATAATCAGTTTTTATTGATTTATTTTTATCGATCATTTCATTGCCTTTCATGCTGATTATAGAGTGGAACTAAACTTATACTCATTTAAAAAAATATTTTCCAGTGTTTTCATTAATCTGAGATAGTGAATTAGTGAAAGTAACTAAAAATGAATGTTGATCTTGGTATCAATAAGGCAGAGCATAATGAACTGCTATTAAAGAAGCTTGATCGTATAAGAAGAAAAAATCAGCATTCTGATCTCACAATTAAAGTAGGAAGTGAAGAGTTCCTGGTTCACAAAAATATAATGTCAGCGGGTTCTGATTATTTTGATGCAATGTTGTCTCATGATAATGTGGAAAGCAAATCTGGAATTGTTGACATGCAAGATGTTGATGTAGAATCGGTGAAGCTTGGTATTAATTACATTTACACCGGAGAGGCTTCAGTCACTGGTACCCTTGATAAATGTGAGAAACTACTTCATGTAGCATGCATGATGCAGTTATCAATTCTTTGTGATAAAATTGCAGATTTTCTGCAATCTCAACTCAGCCCCCAGTCATTCTGTAACATAAAGAGAATTGCGGATAAGTATGATTGTAAAAACTTGTCTGAGTTTTGCCAAATATATGCATCTGAAAATCTGGGTATGGTTGCCAGAGAGGCGGAATTCAATAGTCTTGACTTTGACTATATATCTTTATTAATTGGTTCAACAGTTGTGAAACATCCGGAAGATTCAAAACTTGCTATAGTTTTGCAATGGATTAAAGCTGATATCATAAATCGCCAAAAAAATCTCTATGGTTTGATGTCTAAACTGGATCTTGGGAATATTTCATCTACGTATTTGAAATTTCTTTTGGAAAATGAAAGAGTTTTTTATGAATCACCAGAATGTATGAAAATGTTGTTTTTGACACAGCTGAGTGATGCTGATATTGAAAGCCTAACACCAGAGTCTGCACACTCGTCTCCAAGAATGGCAAATGCTCTTCTTGTACTTGATACTAATTCTCAATCTCTTCAAGCGTTTGTAGCAGAAAAAAAGGTTTGGACAAAGCTTCAATCCTTGCCTGAATTTATGCTTTATAACAGATTTGCGATCGTTATTTTGACAGGATTTCTATATGTTTTGATGGATACCAAGGTTTATCGGCTGAATTTAACCTCTAGGAAGCCTAGCTGGACAATTATGCGTAGTATGAAACACAAACATGGATGTAACATTCGGGCAGCGATTTATAATAATTGTATTTATGTCACTGGTGATGGTAGAATGGAAAAATACAATCCTAAAAACTATGGTTGGCAGGATGTGAATTGTAATGGAACCCCTGTAACAAGTTGTGCTCTGGCCAGTGCTTTTGGTTTTCTATATACAATTGGTGGCGAAGAAAATGATGAAAATGAAAAAGACTGTGAAAATGAAGACGATGGTGAAAATAATGAAGAAGAGTCCTCATATGTACTTCCATTAGCAGATGTTAACTGTTATTCCTATTCATCAGGTTGGTCTCCTGTTCCTCCAATGAATGTTGGCAGATATACTCCTGCAGCAAGTGAATTCTGTGGTAAGTTATATGTTGCGGGAGGGGCAAGTACTAAACGATTGAATGATGTTGAGTGCTTTGATCCAAAAACCAATATTTGGACAGTTCTTGCTCCCATGGAAAAGCGTCGAGATGAATTCATTCTTTGTATTATTGATCATAAATTATTTGCTGTCGGTGGTGAATGGGGCAGTGACCAATTTGATGGACATGACATGGAAACTTATGATGAGGACACAGAAGAATGGAGTATTCTTGAAAACTTGGAGGGTTGCAGATTCGATTCACTTTGTAGTGTTGCCCACTGTTTTGAATTAGATGAACTGAATGCCTTGGAAAAATGATATATGTAATCTGTATGCAGCTGCATATTCATTTTTAAATTCTGGAATAATATGTTTTTATAATAACTTTAACAGGCTAATTTCACATGTGACATTGTTTGATTTGGCTTTTTGCAATTAATTTTCTGCCATATAATTTTCCACACCTGATTTAGATATTTCATCCCAATCTTTCCAGTTTGAATTAACTGACCACCAGTTATGACAATCGTACAGCAATTTTGAGGATGCTGACATTAATAGTTGTGGGGGTGTTACTTTGAAATGTTCAAAGGTTTTGGTATGGTGGTTGGAAAGTTTTTCCTATGTCTGGGCATTTTATTGTTAATAAGATGTTGTTATTATGTGAGCTATGCAGTATGTGTGAAGTAATCAAACTCAATACTGACCCCAATTCTTGACCAAAGAAGAGGTAATTTTTCTTGATTTTATCTTTTATTACTCCCGCTTATGATGTGAACTTTGATAAACACTATATTTGATTTAAAAACAAAGCATAATTGCAGACTTTCAATGGTAAAAATCGGAGTCAAAATTTTTCAGTATTAAAGAAGACTTACATATACAGATTTTTTATTTCTTAGGAGTCAAAAATGGGGACAAATTTCTTCACAGCTTAGCTGCTTAATGAATGAACACTTATGTTTTCAGTATATGATATTATATTGATTATGCTGTACTAAGTAAGGGCCACCTATGTTATTTCATCTTCTCACAAATACATTGCTCTTCTAATTCTTTCAAGCCACGGACTCGCAACTCGAACCTGTTCCATACTGGATAGGATTTACATATTTATCCCGGAAAGAGGAAAACCAGTAAGACAGCTTAATTACATGGCGAACTGCGGCCTCTCACCAATCCAGGTCGGGTATGGGATTAGTTAGTTGGAATCAGTTAATTGTCTCAAATGCATGGACTCAATGTTGAGGCCGTAACCGACCAGTGGTTACAGTTAAATGAACTGTCTTACGGTGACGAGGACTCCAGCAATCCTCCCACACAGGATTGGCGCTCCAGAAGTATGTGTTCCAATATGGAGGTAACTAATTTTGTTCGCCTACTTCACGTCAAGTCGTGTAAAGAAACGGAAGCCTATGGGCAGGGGGTATATTCACTTGGCTAACACAAACAGCCCTCAAACTCGTAATAGAACTCAAATAAGGAAAATCGATCAGATCAAACCGTAAGATGATATACATAGCTTAGTGATATGATTTATGATGTCTATGTTATGTCCATAATATACCATTTAAGCATCCTGTGTGTTTGCCCACAAACAGCCAGAAATGACCAATCAAATACCAACCAAATATTTCAAAATCTTCACCTTGTAATTCTTATAATAAACTACTGCATTAAAAGCTTCCGCTCTCACATAGCACTTGGCTGAAAATTAATACAACGCTGTTAAGTTTTTCGTATTTATTACAACTAAGGCTAAAACAGTGATTCTTATTCATAGGATGTGCATATATTAATCACAAAATCAAGCAAACACTTGTGGATATAATGATTCATCCAAATTTGGATAATCACAAAATTATTTAAAATGAATCTACTGATAAATCACATTATGGTATATAGTGATAACAATACAAAAATGATTGTAAAATTGAACGATTTCACAAACAGGATTAGCTGCTTTCTTTTAGAGCAGGTAATTATTCCTAACCGGGAGCCACAATCCTAGGCACCAAGTGGGATTTGCAAAATAAAACACTCTAAATGACTCTGTGAACCTTTGTAGTCAACAGATAACGGTCAAACTTAGTTAGTCTATACAGACTCGCTATTGTAAACGTAATAATATGTAGAGAAAAATGTTAAAATTTCTATTGCCCAAGAATGACAGTTAAGTTTAATAAGTTACCTTAATTAACCAAGGTAAATCGAGACAGTCTGGAACGTGCATAATTCTTGTATTCGTGGAATGGTGAAGCCCATGAGTACTAATAAAACCCTATGGAAAGGGGCTGGGAACCACAGTTTTAGAGCATGCTTCCATGTTTGACCATATTAGGAGATGGATTAAATATAAAAATCAAAATAACTCCACGATAAGAGGTACAAATGCAAAAAATCCAATTATTATAGTTTCGATCCAGGCATTTTTTCACCTAGATAATGCGCTAGAAGAAATAGTCTATCAGTACCAAAAAGCAGTTGGGGTTTACCATTATGCTTCACTACATATGATGGCAACCCAAACGCACCATAGCTTACAGCCTCATTAGTTGTTTTCTTCAAAGCTTCTTTGATCTCTGGATCAGATGTCATGGCAACCAGTTTATTTGCAGTTTCATAGGACAGATTTGCCGCAAGACAGGCTTCTCTGAGACTACTGTCCTCTGTGATATCTTGATCATTGAAGTATATTCTTGAATACAATTGTGTTGATACATTGACAAGGTGTTCAGGACATTCTTGTTTTACCGCTGTAAGCAACCTCTGAGCTTTCATGGATCCTTTGACAATCATTACGTTCATCACATCCGATGGAAATTTGAACTTTATGTCATAGTATTCCGCAAGTCGATAGAGGTCTTTTGTCATGTAACTAGAAAATATAAGTAGTAGATGAGTATTAAAATAATCCCAGATTCAAACACTCAATCGATATCTATTACTACCGTGTTTCCCCGAAAATAAGACCTAGCCTGAATTTTTAATTTTTGAATATATGTTTAGCAGTTTTTTTAAATAAAAATGTGTTATTTATGAAAATGGATAAGTAAAGTACTAAGTAAATGGATATCGGTTTTCATATTTCGTTTATTTGAAAATCTCGTAATTCACTACTTGTAATATTGTTTTTGATAAATGAAAATAAAAGACATCCAAAACTAGGCCCTAGTGGTCTTTTTTAAAAGAAAATTTCCGGGGAAACACGGCACTAGGATATTGAGTATTGAACTACAGACCCTATCTACTGTCTTCTTCCTACCATGGATTGGTATGCCACAAGCACACTTGACCGATATAGTATCGAAGTGATAAATTTAAATGTAACATGATCTCTTTTCACAATATAGCAAGTAGATTTATTAGCTCTCATTGGTTGCTTGCTTCCGTGGAGAGAGATTATGTTATTCTTATTAGCAATGGTTGTTAAAATATGAAGTTTATCTTAGCGAAATACTTTGAGACTAGTCACAATATACTCGAGTATTTGATGATCAGCAAAGTAAATTGACTATCATTGTGTTAAATAAAGAATATGGCTCCTAGTGTGCCAAATCATAAATGTGTGTGTACATAGTTTAATGGCCGAATTATCCTCTTTGATATTCCGCTCACAATTAGCCAATTCCATGAACCATAGATGAAGATGGAATTCACCCTTCTGCTGAATAAGAATAGTCTAGAACAGGGTGGTCCAAACCCAGGCCCGCGGGCCATATGTGGCCCGCTGCTTCATTATCTGTGGCCCGCGTCACACTCGAAGAGTAATCAAAAAATCGCATTTCGTGTGGTTTCGTCATAAAATTAATAATCAGAAAAATCTTTTGACATATTGTCGCCACTAATGTCACTGAATTAAATAGTGTTATGGCTAACTGAGGCAACTAGCGAAGTTAAATAATGTGCTTGTTAGTCTAAATTGTTATCTGGTTTTCTAACTTTTTGGTCGGAAATATATGCTAACAATATAGGCATCAGAGAAAACTAAAAATCGAATGCGGCTTCTATTAGCCTAGAATGGCTATGCCTGAAAACTATGTGTTTGCACAATAAAAGTGTTTGTTTTGTATTGCACTGTTTACCTATTCTTGGCTTTATTGTGGCCCGCGAACAATGCAAAAATAATTTTGTGGCCCGCTGAGCCGACAACCTTGGACCACCCTGGTCTAGAAGGAAGTGTATTACAAAGTAGCTGATATAGATCATAATAACCATCAAGGTGACCAAATCCTATTAGTCTATATACCTTGCTCTAGCAGGCAGCATTCCTGGTGGTTGGTTCCCAGTGCTTTGCATGATTCCAGCAATAAGGGCAGGTTTGAGTTGCAAATCCATTTTTGTCCATTGTTCACTCATTCGAGTTAAAACATGGAATGCTATGCAAGCATATGGAGATAAAACATCATAGAATAGTTGAACGGTCTTCTTAGGAACTGACATTTTAGTAACAGGCCTAAGTGCCTGATAGAAACATAGAACAGTAGAATGGCATGACAATAAATTTTTTAAACAAAGCCTCAGCCTGGTCAAAAATGAAACCCTTCCCTGGTCCCCCAAATCCTGTGCTTACAAGAGGCGAACTCATAAAAATCCAAGGTACTAGATTATCATGATTTGACAAGTTTCTTATTCCAATTCATGAAGTGTAGAAGTGACCTTCCCTGGAGTTGTGGACTAGACAATTTATTGATTAGAATAGGATTTACATATTCATTCCGGGGGAGAGAAAAGTCAATAAGACGGCTTACCCATATGGCGAACCACGGCCTCTTGCCCGGTTACCATACCATGTCAGGTATGGGATTGATTAGTTAGTTATTTGTTTTCGGTAGCATGGACTCAATGGTCATGGTGGAGGAAGCCTACATAAACCACCCTATGGCGGGTCCAGTAATCCTCTCGCACATCAATATCCTCGCATGGGATTCAAACCCAAGTGCAGTTTCAAGTATTCTGTGGCGTCTGCAGCTGCCGCAAAACCATGGTGGTATTTCCATACCATGGCCGCTACGGCCAAACCTATGGCGACTGACAGCTGCAGCTGCCACAAAGGGGCAGCAAATTGAAAACCAATGGCAGGTAAAATTTTGCTGCCGTAACCACGGCAGGTGGGCGGTAAAGACAGGGATGTCCCTTATGGTAATAAATATTGGGTAAGTTGGAACGTTTTTCGTATGGATACAGTTTTGATGGATTTGGGGTTAGGGTTCAAGTAGATATAATTCCGCATGATCAATTGGAATCGGGTACATTAATTTTGAATATACTGTCAATACTGATTACTGAATAGCGCTATAAAACCATGGCAAGAGCTGCCGCGGTTCGTTCGTTGCAGGAGCTGCCATGGAATGGTAAGAACTGCGCCTCTTCAAACCTGCGATCCCACGCAGAGTAATCAGAGATGCGCTGGCGAGCATATTTATACAGTCTTGACTCTTAACGCTTAGCAGGGTGAGCCACGGCTCGGCGGTGTGGCGCATCGTGCTAAGCGTAAGGAATATGCTCGCCACCGCATCTCTGATTACCCTTCGTGAGATCGCAGGTTCGAATCCCATGCGGAGATGATCATGTGCGAGAGGATTGCTGGACTCCTCGCCGCCTTAGGGTGGTTCATGTAACCGCTGGTCGGTTACGGCTTCCTCTACCATCAAGTCCATGCTTCCGAAAACAAATAACTGGCTAACTAATCCCATACTCGACCTGGACTGGTACCGGTAAAACCGGCTAACTTCGGATGATTTCACTATATTTTGAACAATATCTCCGCCGCATGTTGTTCAACTGAAGCCAAATTTGGAATATAATACATTGTGGCTATTCTCGTCTTGATAAAGTCGGTTCCATATCCATCAAAGCCTTTTTTCATTGAAATTATTGTCTTTATTCGTCTATTCTAAAATTATCTAACTTCGGATGGCCACTTTTCTCTTTGCGTCAACTCGTCGTGAGAGAGAAATGTCTGCGTAAGCAATGACGCGTGACAACGTCGCTGAATAGACCTTACGCCGCCACGACCTGTCTTGCGTGTTGAATACTGACGTTTGTACGTGACGTTACTCTTGCCGCTTCGCGAAGCCTAACTATTTATTCTTGTGTCCTTTATTATAACTCGTATATATTTCACTAACTACTCCTAATTTATTGCAAAATGCTAGTTCGTTCTTTTATGATCGTTTATTTTCAATGCAAGAAAAGGATTAACAAAAAAAAAAAACGGAAGAATTGAAAGTACCTAACACTGGTGTAGGTTGAAATTGAAATGCAATATGGAACAAGTAAAGAATGAACAAAAATTAGACAATTAAAAATAAACGGATGAATCGAATGAAACACTGGCAAAAGTAAAAATTGAAATCAAAAAGCAATATGGAACAAGTAAGGTATGAACAAAAATTCGACAGTTAAAAATAAACAGATGAATTGAAGGAAACGCTGGCAAAATCAAGAATTGTAATCATTTCCACATGGGTTAGACGGGTCTTTGCAACAGTTCTTGTGGAACCAATGTGTTTCGCTGCAGCTTTCGCAATCGACCCATTCCACCTCAATTTCCGTACTTCCATTTGGATCATTCCATAATCCACAAGCAGAGCAGGTTTCGTCTTGATTATCACTTTTCATATTTTCTGATTTTCTCAGAGCTCCCCGTTGATCGGCTCGGCAGAGGTTCCTGCCCGGTGTGACTTTCGATCCTCGCTTTCGTTTCACTTAATAAAGTCAAATGACAATAAACGGATAAAAACGGCAAAAAGAAACTTTGCCACTTTTTTTCATTTTGCGCCTCACCTGTATGTGGTCCAACCTCCTGCTGTGTGCATGTATGTAGAGTTCTACGCTCACCTGTTAAAGATATTATTATCATCTGCCGACATATCTAATCTACAGACATATCTAATCATTATGATCGTATAGATACATGTTTCAGGCCTAACGTATTACCAATTGCTACGGTATCTATCGGTGTCGGAGGAAGTATGCAAAAACAAAAATCGACAAATTTCATATGCATTAAGCGTATGCATACCCATATTTTTAAATAAACAACATATGACTGAGACGATAGTGATGTTTTTGTAGGATTTAGTGACTAGGATCATGGATAAGCATAATTTTTAAATTTCACAAAACTGGGCGCCGCGATGTCTGGCGTTCAAATGTCGCAGCGAGTAACGCACGAGCTACGCAAAGTGACGTCGGCTACGAAGAGAGAGAACGGGATTTGCGTCGTTGACGTCACGCTGTACGTAATCATCAAAACGTCGATATTTTGATGTAATTTTTAAATCAAAATAATCGATTTCACTCGAATCTCGTACGACACCTTGTGATCACTGTATTTTTTTGTATACATTGTGTTCGCTCTCTAGCGCTTGGCGGTGATTTGACGAAGGTAGCGTCTGTAGAAGTCACGATTTGAGCCGCTCGAAAAAACGGTGTAATTTTTTTGGTAAAATATGATTTTTTGAATGATAAAAAATAAAATCGAGCGATTGGAGGCTACGGCAGATTCAGATATGTAAGGCCTTACTATAGAAACCGACAGAAGCGCAATACAACGAAATTTAGTTGAGATATGAATGATTGAAAATTTCATCCGAAGTTACAAGGCATCCGAAGTTAGCCGGTTTTACGGTACGGTAAATGAACGAGAGGCCATGGTTTGCCATATGATTAAGTCATCTTATCGGCTTTCCTCTCCCCAGGATGAATATGTAAATCCTATCCTATCCACATCGCTAACATTGTAAATGAGAAACAGGAAACTCAGGTGGTAGGCTATGGATCTCTGTTTACAGGTTTAGTTTGTACACTATAAAATACCGCATTGCCTCACACAGCTGATTTACCGGTACCGGTACCGTACCGCGTACCGGTACCTTTCTGCCTTCGGAGAAGGCTACGGTACGGTATTCATTCTGTCATTTACCGTACGATACCGTACAGCCGTAGCATGCAGCTGCACATTGCTGCATTGACACGAATTGGTTCTCCACCTACACTACATGGCCAGACTACTGCTTTATAAATATGATTAAGTCATGTTGTTGCGGTACCGGTACTTTTTCTTTCTAAATGGATAAATATAGCCTAGATAAAAGTTAAAGCGCTGAGAGACGGACGTATTTTCTCTTCTCTCGTTTGTACAATTAATGAGTTGCTAAAGCGCCGCTAGTCTAGATCAAAGTGACTATAACCCTTGGTCTAGATCAGTCTAGATCAGTGATTTTCAACCAACCGCGAAACACTTTTTTTAATCTGAAATTGTGGCGGAACATCAAACGAAATTTTTGTAAATAAACTATATTATGCAATTAACTGACGTCGATCATTTCGGCATGAAAATAAAATAACGAAATCAATAATATAGCTTGTCAACTTTAGGAAAAGACGTGACACATTCCGATTCAGAGCTACAAGAGCTAAAATAAGAGTGGAAGTGGTGACTCCTCTACGGCCCATGGGCCCATCAAGTTGTGTAAAGGGATAAAATAATAAAGACTAATAAATTTGTAAATCCTACCCAACCCCCGAACTCATAATAGAACTATAATGTGAAAAATATGAACAAAATTTTGTCCTAACCCTAACCTGGTACACATACTTCAGGTGTATCCTTTTCTGTAGCTTGGTATTTTGCTTTATTTTTATGTAAAGGCTTATCGTAAGAAAAAGGTTCGGTGGCATCCCGCGATTTTTTTTGGTTCGAATATTGACAATTTTGTAAAAATTGAAAATTTTGGTGAGATAATTGAATTTTTTCTGATGGACCGCGACCCATAGCTTGATGGGCCACGGCCCATGTGGCCAAATTAGATGGGCCGTGGCCCCGGCCCATGGGCCGTAGAGGAGTCACCACCCCTGTAGTAAAATAAGGTACAAATATATGTTTTTGCTAGTTTGCTTATGAATACTATGATTACGGTAGCTAGAAACAGAAATGGTATTTTAGTGGGATATTTGGGTCTGTTTCGATTAGTTTCAAATATTTATTCTGTAATCGAGGAGAGACAAATACGCAGCTCATTCTCAACGGCTCTCTATTCCTCGCGTTTTTTTTTATATACGCAACAGGAGTCCAGAAGGTCGGAGGTCGATTTGGAAATTAATAAAAACATTGGAAATTGGAAGCAAAGCGATTTTTACTGTTTAATTTCGCCATAATCGCTACTTTTTTTGCCCCCTGAACGTTTTCATATTACCGCCTTTGTTCTTGTGCGCAAGTATTAATTCTTGCCGATCGGCGGAGATCGAAGTTTCATATTTTGGTATAACTATATGTAGGGTTACCATATTTTTGTGACTTCAAAGCGGGATGGGACGCCTCAAAAGACAACGACCCCTTGGCTGTGATTTTGTAACTTTACATTTTCCGATTTTACTACATAGGCCTACATTCCTACATTTAAAGCTGTCTTTATTGACCATATTGTTATCGAAATTTCATGCGCATATCTTCTGTCCAAATATCGGGTTCGGCGCGGCGGTAGGCTCAACGGGCTAAGCGTTAGGAATACGCTCGCCACCGCACCTCTAATTACTCTGCGTGGGTTCGCAGGTTCGA